GGGGGCGGGGGGGGGGGGGGGTGGGCGTGGAATGTTCTCCCTCTGGGCATCAGCGTGGTGACAACGCTGCCCATGCCCGGAGAGAGGAGGAGGAGCAGGGGCGCAGGGAGGGGCGCCAGCTCCTCCTGCTCGGCAGCAGGGCAAGGGTACAGTCGAGATGAGCTCACCGTGGTGTTCAGTTGCTCCCAATCCCTTTCTTACCGATGCTGAGATGCAGATCAGCCTAGCAAGGGAGGGCAGAGGGCTTTCTAGAAGGGAAAGCTGCTTGTTCTTCTTCTCGGTCTCTGCTGGGATTACTGTATTGTTTAGTTTAATCGCCTTTCCTTGGTCCAAATAAAGTGGCTCTGCTGCTTGGGGCATTTGCCTTTAATAGTCCAACATAAACGGGCAAATAAGCGATCCTGATTTAGCGATCAGATCACAAGAGCAGCTCCGGTAAGAGACCGCAGCAGCTGGAAAGGGGAAAAGGAGCGGGTACCTTCCTCTCCGCCGCGCGCGGAGCCTCGGGCGTCCGCTCCTCCTCCTCGCTCGTCCTCTTGCATATCCGACCCCAGGCTCTTATTCAGGCCTCTCCAGCACCGCAGAGTTTGCCCCCACTTTTAGAGGCGCGCAACCGGCTCTCTTCGCTGTTTGCCGGGGCCTTCCGGCAAGCGCGCCGCAGAAAGTCTCGCAGAGTCCGACTTCCGAGTGCGCGTGGCTTTCCCATCGCCCGCCTCCACGTTTGTTGTCCGCAGAGCGACAGAGACGGAAATTCTCGCATTTGCCTCGCTGCTCTTATTTTTCTAATTCGACCACCTTTGATATCTGCGGTTAGGGATTTATTTTTAGCGAAATAGATTTAGAAACTACGGATTCGGATTCGTGCCAGCGTTCAACTGGCAGAGTCATGGTGCCACTGTGATGCATCCGGGCTTAACTCCCAGCTCAGCCCAGAAGTTTAAGAGGGTCATGGCACCTGCTGCTTTTACTGACAAACGCGGATTAACTTTACCAGTTTACTCGACTCTGTTTTCTGGAAATGTAGAAGCACTGAACCCTGAAGTAACCTCTCTGCTAAAATCCCACTTTTCTACAACGTGCTTGGTAGTTTGTGGGGAATAGTAAATGATGGTCTTGTAATGAAAACTCTAACTCTGCATCTTTGGAAAGCTTTCCCTTTACTATTTTTAGAAGGACTTTGTGCACACATTTGTTCCCATTTGCTTATTTAATAGTAGTACAGAATGAGAAGTGCCAGGTGCAAAGCTAGTTACAGAAGAGTCAAGGACACCCAGGATCCTGTTGCTAACATCTGATGGATAATGCAAATAGCAAGGGAGTTTGACAAAGATGTCTGTTGATTTTATAAAAGCTTTTGACTGTGTAGACAACAAATTGTGGACAGCCCTTGAAAGCATGCACGTATAAGGCCACCTACCTAGTGAAGAATATGTATGATGATCAGGATGTAATAATATGGGACCTCTAAATGGTTCAAAACGGAAAGAGGTGGGCCAGGATTGTATACTGCTACCTTAATTATTTAACTTATACGCATAATGTATCATGAGACATGCTGGACCTGGAAAAAAGACAATGTAATCAAAATTTCTGGGAGAAACATCAACCTCAGATACGCTGATGATGCCTTTTGGAGCATGGAAGTGAGGAAAGCTAAAGGAAGCCATTGCTGAAGGTGAAAGAAAAAAAAGAGTACAAAAGCCAGTGTGCTGTTCAATATTAAAAAGACTCAAGATAGTCAACAGGCAATGGTGACCCAAGGCAAATAGCTGGAGAAGAAGTTAAGTAATCAATTTTATTTTCACAGGGATGGTGACTGTAGACATGAAATAAAGATACATTTGCTCTTTGGGACAAACTATGACAAACGTATGTAAATGATTAAAGAACAGAGACATCACATCAACAACAAAGGTACATATTGTTACAGCCATGGTTTTACCAGTTGCAACATAAGAGAAATAACTTTGTATGATGATGCTGTAGAAAATTGGACACTGGACTGCAAGAAAAACAATACTAGATGAAGTAAAATCAAACTGCTCACTAAAATCATTAATAATAAAGCTAAAACTTAAATACAGTGGTACCTCGGGATACGAACTTAATCCGTTCCGTGACTCTGGGCGTATCCCGAGTTGGTTGTAACCCAACGCAAATTTCCCCATAGGGTTCACGGGCGCCGCGCGGCAGGAAAACGGCCAGGCGCCACGCTGCACAGCAGGAAAATGGCCGCGGACCACGTGTCAGGGGCGGAAAAATGGCCGTACCCAGAGGCGGAGTTCGCACATCGAGGTAAATTTTTGCGGCCGGAGCGGGTCGTAACCCAAAAAGTTCGTTAGTAGAGGCGTTCGTATCCCGAGGTACCACTGTACTATGTACACATAATATTAACACAAAAGCCACTGGAAAAGACCATGATGCCTGGAAAAATCAAAGGCAATCAAAAAAGAGGGCAAAAGACGACAAGGGGGCTAGATATTATCATTGTTGATAAAAGCTTACAAGAACTCAAAACAGTTATTGACACAACTAGCAAAATATTTATCAGGTCAATCAGCAGTGACTGAACAATGGTCTTTTATTATTCTTTAATACTGGTTTATATACTATTTTCAGTGGTTTGTCTTTTGATATAAACATTCAGAAGGGCATACTAGAAATTAATACTCCCTGTAAATGTTACCAAATGCATAAAGTTACCATGTTTTGTGGAATTTAAGGATGGATAGAATACAACTTGAAAGTTAAATATATTTTTACGAAGAACAGCAGTCCCCTCTCATTAGCAATATAGGTAGTCCTTGCTTAACAACCATTCATTTAGCAACTGAAATTACAATGGCACTAAAAAAAAGTAATTTATGACTGATGCCCGAAGTTATGACCATTGCAGTGTCCCCATGGTCGTGTGATCATGATCAGGACACTTGGCAACCAGCTTGCACTTACGACGGTTGCAGCATCCTGGATCATGTGATCGCCATTAGTGACTGTCCCAGCTGGCTTCCGGTGAGCAAAATCAATGGGGAACCACCTGATTCACTTAACCGCATGATTCACTTAACAACCATGGTGATTCACTTAGCGACCACCGCAAAAAAACTTGTGAAATCTGGTCCAGTCGTGATGATTTGCTTAACGACTGCATCGCCCAGCAACCCAATTCTGGTTCCAATTGTGGTTGTTAAGTGAGGACTATCTGTATCTGTAACATACTGCCTCGATTTACTGATAGACTATGTCATAATGGCTCAGCATGATTTGCAAATGAGGTCACTGAATAAGCTACTTTGGCAAAGTAAACAGCAGAATGTTGATTTCCTGACAGCATATATGATTTAGTGTGATATGCAAACCATTACATGAAGTTCATTTGTGATGCCTTAGTTTATTCCTGCTTTGTTTTGTGCTCTAAGACATTAGCCATTTCTTAGACACGCAAGGCAAAATCTTTTGAAAAACAAGCTAAAAGGTGGCCAACAATCCTTCACTGCTCATTTGCCCAACTAACTCTGGCTTTTCAGACGACAAAATAAACAATCACATAGTGGCTGGGTCACATGTTGTGCTAGTTTTACTTCTAAAATTTGTATTTCTTACATCAAGTACTAAGGCACAAATAATCCTACAAACCAGATTGCAAAAACAAATCAAACAGAAATAACAGAAATGTCAGAATTACTTTAAGCTTTACATGTACATTTTAATTTATTAAACAAAGATTGAGAATTTTTTTGTCAAGGCTAGAAAGACCCCAGAAACATTTTAAGATATTTTGAATTTTAAACATTTTTTAATCTTTAACAAACCATTGGCATCATAAGATAAAGAGAACAAGAATGCTTCCTTTGACTACAGTAAGCCTATCCCAAAACTGAAGTTAAATCCCAAAGTTAAACCTGTGGGGCATGGTATTAAATCTGCTTCTAAGGCATATCTAAAAAAAAAGTTCAGCATAAAATGTACAAATCCTTCAACTGAACCAAATCTTTGTAACCATAAATTTGGGATAGCCTGAAAAGAAAAAGGAGAATACATTAAGGTATTTATTTCACATCCCCTATAATCTGGAACAGTAACCTGAGCTACCTCCTTGCACTAGGCAATAAAGTATCATATGCAGTTGCTTGGTAAGAACGTAGTACCATACATCTTTAAAAATAGGGAAATACATAATGCCCCACTCATGAACAGGACCATGACCTGAAGCAATATTTTGAATGTGTGCAGTGCTTAATTAAAGCTATACTTGGTTAAAAAAATAAGGGACAGACATTTGTGTCTTTATTATAAAGCAAAAGCAATCCTGGCAAATGATTATTAAAGTATTACAGTAACATGCTTGAAAAGAAAATGCTGGGGAACTGAAGTCCAGAGTAAGTAGATAATCCAGGGACCAGAAGAAACACATCCAACTGATTCTAAAATGTTCATACCAGTGAAAATATAGTGAGTTATTTAATACAGTCATAAGGTATATGAAAAGTGTTTGAAAAGAGTACAAGGGACAATAAGAAATAGTCTACTACAGTCCTAACTACCAGGCAAGATGAAAACAAAGAGAGTGAGAGAAAAGGGGAAAATACATAGTTAGGCAGAGAAGAACAGCTGAAAACTTTACAGGTGATGTGGAACATGAACCAAAAACATAACTGGGTCAGAGGGATATGTGACTGTGCCAACTATATTTGGTAGTTTCAGCTTTGCCGAGGAAAAGGTTTTGAGGAACAAACCCTTTTGCTTACCCACACATTATGAAAGATTGTAAGGTAATCATACTGATTGGATTCATACATAGTGCTGGTTTATTTAACTTCATTTACTGAATAAACCACAGTGATTCACATAACATATTAAGCCAAAATCAAATAAACCACCTAATGACTTTGAGCTTTCCCCACTAAGTTACAGTGCCATCCACCCATCCTTAGCAGAAAATTATGCTGGTGTGACATTTGCTATTCCCAATCCTGTCTCTATTCTCTGTGGGTGATAAAGCTTTACAGATTTGTACACACCTTGAGGGCAACTTTGGATGGTCCCACTTATGAACTGAAGATGAATTATAAAATTCATTATTCATTATAAAAAGATGTCAGGGTATGTTTGTGTCTTGTTAGATGCAACTGAGGATTTCAATATATCTAGGGCCATTTGACTTCCTTTTCCACTCCCACAATAAGCCTCAAAAGTAGATTCCTACATAGGGGAAGAAAGCATTTTTATTTAAAGGGAAACAAGCACTAAGATTCATTTAGACATAGAAAATTAGATGTGAAGTTCTTGTGATCTCAGATTTTGTTATTTATGCTTTCAACACAGTCATAAGTCTGCTTTCTTATAGCAGGTTACTCTGCAAGTTTTCTGTAATATGTAAATCATGAAGTAAGAACACTCCCAATTTTAGTGAACAGAAGGAGCTGGTGCTATCAAAGTTGCTGCCAACATTTTCATGAATACCGTTTTAGGAACTTTTAAAAACAGATAAGGAACAGATGAAATGTAACTGAACTAAACCACTAAAAGAAAAGAAGTATCTAAATGATCTAAATAAAAATTAAAGTGTTGTTTCTCATTTGTTAAGACATCATGATCTTAATTAGAAAGTTTTTGATAATCTTTATATGTTTATATAGTAATATTTATATTCTAAAATGAAAGCCCAATGTTGTTAGTTACTTATAAAATGAACACAAGGATCATCCCCCAAGAGAACATAAAGTTGTTATAACAGAGTTACACTTGCTGCTACACAATATTGTGTCTTAACGAGCCATATTTATACATTATGGATCAATATTTAAAACATTTAACATTGTCTGCTGCAGCTGCCTTCCTTTGTTCAACAATATCAGAATCCAGAAACAGATGCATATTACTGTAACATTTAGTCTGCAATGGAGATGCAATTCTTGACACAAAGGAGTGCAATTTTTCTATTATAATGGCCCATGGGAATTGTAGTTTCTTGGAGTCTTCTACAATTCTATTCCTTTATTCTATAGTTGACAAATGTTTGAGTAATAAATTGTGTTCATAACTGCAGTTAATATACCCCATCTAATGTCAAGGCATTTAGTTATAATTAGAGTGTGGTATGTTCGCCATTATAATATAATTATATATAATTCAAAGACATACTGACATACAATTTCCTATAGCACATAACAAATAGGAACATCATGCAGGCATTATCAAACTTGATTTAGGTTATTTGAGCAGTAATCTCAATCATCTTTCTGGTACATAAATGCTTACTTATTGAAAATAACCCATTACAAAAATAAGACCTATATAAAGAGCCTCAAGTATTTTATGGCAAACTGCTCATGAAAATTCACACTTAATACATTGTTCTCCCTGAAAATAAACAGGGGTACAAAGAGGTCTCAAAAAGTAGAGAAAGGAGCACAGACAGGCTTCGTGCCTGATTTAACTGCTACAGGATGACTACTTTAAGGGTCATCTGGCTTCTTATTCCTTCTTGGAAAATCCAAGAAACAACTGTATATCTGAGCACAGAAGAAAACAACATTATTAAGTATTTAATATAAAAAGTATTAATTTTATGTTCAATAAAGCCATTATAAATATATAACAAAGTCAGCCATTTAAAAAGTGATTCAATGGGAACTTTCAAGTTCTGGAAATATTATACACTTTAAAATACACCAATTTTAAAAATTTATAGTCTTATAAAATGATCACATCTGGCAAAAACCATACTGTTTTGTCATAAAGATAATTATGCTTGTACAAACATCTTCAAAACAGGTTAATTATGCCAATATTCTAGTAATTAACAGCTTTTATATCTGAACCTCAACAATGCAGCAAGAAACTTCCACTCAAGTGTGATAATTTTTTAAAAATCACAAAAATTGGTTAAGAACTCATTAAATTTACCAATAACTGCAAAGAATGTTAAAGATGTCTGTAAAACAGAGATATGTCTCATTTTCTTAATCACACATGCTAACTTTATTCCTACCTTACCTTAGCTGTATTAAGTGTAACATTTCAGAACATAAGGAAAACTTACAGTTTAATTAGTTCTTCTATTTAAGTTAAGATGGAACAACCCAACTTTTAATTAAAGAAAGCTCTTAGAAGACTGCTAAATCATTGGCTTAAAAAAACTCAACTATTTCATCATAGTGTAATGTTAACTGCTTTGGTATTGGTCAATATAGCAATTCAGTTCATTACAGCATAACATACTTGCCAGTTATATTAAAAGAGACTCATTAATGTAAAAGATTAATTCCATTTCCAGTGGTAAGCTTGTAGTACTGGATATCCAACCATGAATTACAGGAATTAAAGCACTATCCAAATCATTTAAGTAATGCTGTGGAAGAAGCTGGCCTCCAGATCCTGCCTGATATTCTACCTAAAAGAGAAAAAACAAAAAATACTGCATTAGATTTCTGAACACTATATGCAGTAGACTACTATTCATATTTGTATCTTATCAAATGATAGAATTATATTTTAGCATTTTTAAAAGCAATAAGAAATTGACCTTTTTTAAACCGTACCGTACCGTACCGTACCGTACCGTACCATACCATACCATACCATACCATACCATACCATACCGTTCCAATTTGCTGGCAATGTTACCCACCAAACAGATGCAGATAAGAACAGGTCATCTACAAAATGGATTCCATTACAAAGGTGTTTGCACTTGGAAGGGGAGTGACAAGTTGACACATTTCTAAGTGCTACCTAATCACCCCATTTCACCTCTACTGGACAAGGGGACCAGACTCCCAGCAGAGTTGCATTTCCTCTGTTTGATAGGTTTATTTGTCATGGCTAGCAAAGGTTAATTAGGAGGAAAAGGGATGCAAGTTCTCAATACCTGTAGTTTTTCATTTAGAATGCTAAGGTTAAAAGTGCTACAGTATAGCAAAAGTAACTTTTTTGAGCAATGAGGAAATGCAAAGACTTCAGCTTACAATGAATGTCATTTTTAATATTTTCCAAAAGAAAGCTGCATTTTAATTTTATACAGTATATAAGATCTAGGGTGAAGATACTTTATACTATTTTCCCATGATCAAAACAAGTTATACTAGAAATAAAACAAAGGTTCATGTCCCTAAATTATATCTACAGATACATAGCTGCAACATTTTAAAAACTTACCATGTCAGCATCCATGGAGACTCTGAGACCTATCTTGTTCATTCCATTATTTTTCAGTGTTTTGAGATGCTGTCCAAGTGCAGTATAAGAAGCCAATGCAATTTCTTTAGCAAGCTGATGAACACTATTGTATAGCTCGCTAGCTTTTGACAGATAGAATACCTAAAGTATTAATTTAAAAAATCAGTAGTGGTAGATTTTCCTCCAAAACTAAAAAAGATAATACAACATCTCTTGAGCAGTGCATAATGAGCTCTAGTCACTAGAAACAGACAACCAACAGTACAGATAAGATAAATATTTAAACAGAGTGACAATGGCAATAAAAGACCAACATCAGAGAAAAACAATTGTTTAAGATGTTTTAATGAATTGATTTAAGATTCACAAAAGGAAATTATGAACTTTCCTAATTGGTTCTCCTTACCTTGCTCTTTTATGCTACTGCATTTTCCAGCATTCCCAACTCCCATACCACTCTCCCATCTCCTGACAATCATACTTACACTGCTATTAGTATAGTTTTTTAAACATGCTTCTAATATTAGAAATACTGCTTCAATTGCTAATGGGAGGGAATGTGGAGAATAAAGAGGTATGAGAGTTCAGTACATGGACTTTAAAGGAGATACATGCTATAGAGTTGTCCATTTTCCATTTTTGTTTAGTATCCTTTAGCCCATTTCTACTCACCACTGAAGTGCTCATATCTAAAATACTGAAATAAAATATTTGTGGCTTTTTCAAGAAATCAGTGGGCAAAAATGTTCATAATATAATAATAGTCACTAGAAGATTGGGGGGGCAGAATCATGTGAAGAAGCAAATGTGAAAAATCAAGAGCGAGAAATATCAGTATAGGAAATTATATATCAAATTATAGAGCCTTTTATTCTATCAGCACTGTATCAGAGTGAATAATATCAAATTCAAGAATGAAGAGAGATTATACCAATGTCTTCATTTATTGACAAGAGAGAAAAAAATCAATATTCTGCTTGTCATCATCAAAACAACAATGGCTGAAGTTCTTTTCAACTTTTTAGATCACATGTCCGGGTATTCTGATGCTTCCCAGAGTAATCTGTAGACTAGTAATCTACACTGAGACGTTGAAAAAACATATCAAAAGAAGGCAACAGTAAACTACTTCCATCTTGTTGCCAAGAAACTTCATGGATGTGTTGACCTCCACTTTGGGGTAATTTTATTTTTTTTTACATGAGTGACCACTGCAATAAAGACTGAAAAGAATCTTCCCAAAGAAAACTGTTTAATTTAATGGACAAAAATGAGAGTTGGGGGTGCAGATAAAAGCTGCTGCATGCTGAATCCAGCATTCTTGTCTGTTTCACATTCAGAGGACTTTTAATATTCTATCTAACTTCATTGAATCTGCATGGGCTTTTTTTTTAAAAAAAGCAACATTCACTTACTTCTGTACATTTTACAAGTTTTCCATCCACTTCAAAACGTTCTTCTTGAACTATTTTTTCACTCTGTACTCCTTCCATAGATTTCCCATCTATTGGGCTTGTTATTCTGTGAAGCAAGGTTTAAATTACGTTATTTGGCTCTTCTGGTCAGCTCAGAACATCAGGAGTCAACCCCAAAAGAATATACTCCTAGCAGTGTAACCCAAGGCACGAAGGTCATCCCAGCTGCACAGCTAAAGCAAACAGCCACCTATATTGGGCAGCAGATATAGGAAGCTGCTGGAGATGGATGATCACTTTAGTGACACCACTGAAGGCATCATTTCATACTGCCTAGGAAAAGGCAATAGTAAACCACTGCTATATTTTACCAAGGAAACCACATGGATAGATAATAAACAGGTAGTCCTCAGTTAACAACTGCCCTGTTTAGTGACCATTCAAAGTTATGACGGCATTGAAAAAGTAACTTTGTGACTGGTCCTGGAACTTACGACTGTTGCAGCATCCCTGTGGCCACATGATCACCATTCAGGTGCTTCACAACTGGCATACATTTATGACTGTTGCAGCATCCCACAGTCATGAGATTGCCAATTGCATGCTTCACAGCTGGCTTATCATAAGCAAAGTCAATGGGGAAGCCAGCGGTAAAATCACAAGTTGCAGTCATGTGATGTCTCATTTAACAATTGTGGGTGATTCACTTAATGACTGCAGCAGAACTGATTTCATAAGTCCAGCGCAGTTGTGTAATATTTCATTTAATGATTGTGTTGCTTAGTGACAGAGTTGCCAGTCCCAATTGTGGTTAAGTGAGGACTACCTGTAATGTGATTGACAATATAGTCTGGATGAAGGGCCCTTCCAGCTGGAAGGCAAGAGCTGAGGATCTTTTGCAGTACTAATGGCTTTGTGCCAGTTGCTAAGTATCAACCATTTTACAAAAGAATTTTGGCATTTTGCAGAAAAATCTT